TGTGTTTAGTGCAGAGGGAGCTGTACCAGGATGAAATGTTGAATGTGAGGATGGATTCGATGAGTGAGGTGTAAACCAGGGTTAAAATGCCTCTGCTGACATTAGAAGTCCTCAGTTTCCTCAGCAGATGAAGGCACTGCTGTGCTTTTTAAAATAGTTTTATATTTTGGGTTTAGCACTTTGTTTCGACCTTCGGCTGTTGTGTTAAAGTGCTTTATAAATAAAGTTGAGTTGAATCAGAAGACAAATCTGGGGTCATGAGGTCATCAGCGGAGGAAGAAAGAATAAACAAAGTTCTGCTGCACAAATTTGTTCTGTTTTTTCAGACATTGGATAATTTTAGTTCTTTATATGAAAGTATGTGAAAGGTTTTGAGGATTCAGTCCTGAGAAGTAGCAACTCACAGACATTTCCCAACCCTGCTTTTTTGAAATTGTGACACGCCAGAAAAGTTACAAATAGTTTAGTATAAAAACTTTCCTGTCGAGTTGTTGTGAATCAGAAGTGTAAAGTAGCATTACATGTAAATACATGTACTTCGTTGCTTCCCACCGTCGTTCCCAGGTGATGGGAGACAGCAGCGAGGCCGAGGAGAAGCAGAGTGACCCCATCAGAAGATCGCGGCGACGCAGGAAAAGCAAGAGAGAGTCGTCCACAGAGCAGAGCAGGCCTGGAAGCCAGAGCCATACACAGTCCATCTACCCCTTAGTACAGGTAAAACATCACACCTGTAGTTAGACTGACTTTATGAGCCACTCTTTTCTAATTGATTCTTAACAGTAACTCAATTTAAGTTCCCACTGTGCCAACTGGTGAGAAATTTTTAATCACAGATACTCAACGTTGGTTGTAAAATATTGTCTCACCATTGGGAGGCAGCAAATTAAGGATCTTAATTTGAGAGTGTAGCGCCCTGTCTCTTTAGTAGATCTGTTGGTCTTTAAACTCAGTTAGTAATTTTTTATGTTGTCTCGTATATTTTGATAATTATTTTTGTTTTTTTTTGTGTCCATCTTCGTCCATGTGTTTTCATATTCAAGGAAAACAGTGGTTTTCTACTCAACAACCTGCTGAAGAGAGGCTTAAGTGAGGATCAGACAGTATCTGACACCGTGCCAGTGGCCACAGCTGCACCAGACGCCTTCAAATTAGATGCCATGACACCTGAGCCAGAGGACTTGGACACGGTGGCTCCGAATTCGCCCGCCCCCGGCCCTCCTCTGCCCCACTCTTTGGCTCCGGGACCCCAGCTCTCTTCCAACAGCTCGGGGCCTAGAGCCGGCTCCGGAGACCCGCTGGAAGAGGAGATACGATCCAGGCTTAGTCAGCTGGTCAGCCGTGCCAACAGCAAAGACAACAGCTCATCTGAAGATGAGAGCACACAGTGGCCTGCGGACAAGCAGACGGAACAAGAAAGCGACAGACAGAGAGAGAAATCAAGGCCGAAAGACACAGAAAGGCAGCGGGCAAGTGACAAATTAAGTGAGAAAGCAAGTGAAGCAGTGGAACAAGTGAACGGACAAGAGATGAAAAGGAGCGAGAGACTAATAAAGAGTGCTTCAGTGAGGGAAGAAGTTAGAGTCAGGGAGAGGAGGTTGGAGAAACGAGGCGAGAGTCTGAAAGAGAAAGTAGATGATCAGGAACAAAAGAGAGGGGACAAAAGAGAGCCGAACAGACAAAGTAAGAGGCAACATAAAAGAGACGTGGAGAAGGAAGCGGGGCTGAAAGCAGCAGCAGCGAGGAGGAGTGGATCCAGTGCGAGCTCGCCTGCTGTTACGCCTTCTTCCCAGGAGGGGGCGCTGTCAAACAACCAGGTGAGGAGATGAGAACAAAATACAGTGGATGTGATTTCCATTCTCCACTCATGTGCTTGTGCCCGTTTGTCCGGCCTTTGATCAATTTCTTTTTCTTTCTTTTCTCCTTTAACCGTCAAAAACACTTAATCATCCCACCCTCCTCTATTATCTCCTTTATTATCTCCTCTATTGCCCATGTATTTATGTGACAATCAATGCTGTGCTTATCTGTGCCTCATCCTGTGTTTTTCCTGTGTTACTGTGTGTTTCCTTCTTTCTTTATGTCTGTTTTTTTTTGTGTTTCTTTGTGAATGTATGTTTGTGTGTGTGTGTGTGTGTGTGTGTGTGTGTGTGTGTCAGGTGGGACAGAATGACTCGGAGCAACAGCAGAGGCTTCAGTTGCTCTCCTCTATCTTACACCAGGTGAGATATATGAGCTAGAAAGCAAAGACATCCTCTGATGTCTTGCATAAAAACCACACAAACCTAATTTAATCCCTGCCCAACCCCACTGCATCCATACAGGAAACACACACGCCTGCATCCATGCACACACACACATTAAACAACGCGTATTTTCACTTAAAGCGTGTATTTCTTATGTCAGTGCAAGCAGCATTGTGGTGGTGTGCATGTGTTTGAAATGGCCTCATATTTGACTTCTTTTTGTTAATAATATAGACAGCGTGACATGACACTACGATAGTTCCTGTTCCAGAGCTCCTTTTTAGAATCACACCTTTGCAATGTCCCAGCTATCACAGAAGAACTGCAAATACTTTTTTTTTTTTTACTAACAATAGCCTCAAAAGGTCAGAATTCAGCTTACACCCACAGGTCCAGTCATGTTTTGTGTGAACTTTTACTCATCTTAAATTCAAAAAACTCCCTCCATTGCTCTTGCTCTTTAGCATAGTCCACCTTTCTCAGCTGAAAGACGCATTCTCTCAAATGTACGAAATGATCAGAACAGGGCTGAGTAATTTGGAGGAAAGATCCAATTGCGATTTTTCAGACAGATATTGATTTGATTTGAGATATCATTTTTTTAAAGCCGAGCTTCGGTTCAATATGCACTGTGTAATAGATTGAATAGATTGGGATGAAGCATTGCCACATGAGACACCGTGAAAAGCGTGACTGTTGTACATAGCAGATGGAACGAATGTGTAAAACCACTGACACCACAGTTTAAACTCTGGCTCAGATGTGCTGCAAAATGTATGAGGTATGCAGCTATTAAATAATGCCTGAACCATGTTGTATACATTGATAAACGGCTTAGGCCTGGAGTGGAATCAGCCGAAGGCAAATTGAGTTTGGTGCAGTAAATTACAAACATCTCCTGAAATGCATTGGCCATAAGCATCTGAGATGTAATTAAATAGTAACTTCTAGCCAGAACTATTAAAATGTCATGTTCAACACGTGGGCTGTGGCTTTTTACAAACTAATTCTTAGGCTCTGGAATGTAGTTTGTTCATCATGCTCAAATGTACAAATGTGCATATGGCTTGATTTACCTTGAGCGTGCTGCTGTCGGACACACTTGTCCAGCTATACAATCCACAAACGAGGGGAAAAAAGCATCTTTTTCTGTGAGAAATTAGTTTGACTGATGTCCGCTAGCACATATATTGCATAATTTCTTGTATGAAAATATTAAAGGACATTGATTTGTTGTATACTAACTACAAAAGCATGTCTAATATCAAAACTCTTTTTAGCAGACACTGTATGACCGTTGTGGTCTCGATAAAATCTAGGCTAGATCTCTTAGGCACTGATATTCTCACATTGTAAATCCACTCTATTCGTCAACACATCAATATGGACCAGCCGCACAAAGTCAGGCACACACACATTAACACACACACACACATATTTGGATGCTGCATCTGAGTCATGGGGGTCGATGTTGGTCATTAGGCACACTCATTATGAGGGCTCCTATGAGTAATGCTTGTCTTTTACAATGAGTATGACACATGTACTGGTGTGATCTATTTCTGCTCCCTTTATAAACTGGTCGGGGCAGCTCAGTTCGATGTGTGGAAGAGAAAACGTGACAGCAGCAGTGATGTTTTTTTGATATTTAAACCATTTTAAAGTAGAATCTAGCCTTTATTCCTTTATTGCCCTACATATATTAAATGAGGACTAATGTCAACATTTTTAGCAGATATATGGACAAACAGGCTGCTTGCTAAATTATTTAAGATTTAGTCAAATGATGAATGAAACACCCCACATTTTAATCCACATAACTCATAAGAAACACATTTTTCTAATAAACAAAAAAACGATTACAAAAACCAACAAAAGATTCTACAAATGAGACGAAAATGCAAAAATACATTAAAATGAAACTGTGAAGCAAATATTGCTTTAGTTCATGTTGTGTTTCCATCGATTGTCAAGCAGGAAGTTTGTATAAGACGTCATTTGCAGAGGACGTGTGTGGGTTGATGGTTATTCTTTTTATAGCAGAAGCAGGCCATAGCGGTCATCTGTGTCACATTTTCTGTAGGAAAGTCGACTAGGCGACCAACAAATGAGTCATAAAAATTAAAGAATATAAACGACCACAAGGACACACATCAAGTATAGACAAAAGATGCAAAACAAGTTCAAAAGTACTAGAAATTATAAAATGTATTGTTTGGTCTTGTTGCATCTCTTTCTGTTGATTTTTTAAATAAATTTAACAACAATTCACATGCAAATTTTGTACTTTTCACTCCACTATGTTTGGTTGACAGCTTTAGTTACATTTTTTTAAGATTCAACAACATATCTCCAGGTTTTGTGACTTTTCATTTTTAAAAAACTGAGGGTTTAAATGTTAAATTAATGGGGGTTTATAAACAATTGTTAGAACAAAAACTCAAAAGACAGTGTCACAACGCTAAGAAAAAAGTCAGTTTTTCTATTCTCGTGAAAACTTCTTGCAGATTCATGGTTCTAACAGGATGCATTAATGCAGCAATAATATGATAAAAGTAAAAGTATCATATCTTGTAAGTTATATTATGCAGTGACTTATACTTTCCGTACGTATATGTCTTAATAATATGGAAGTAAACTATGTATTTTTTTACATGCACTAAGTATATCTTCTTCGTCAATAGCAGTGAGACGTGTTTGGATTTCAGACTGTTTGATCCACGTAGCGATGGCCTGGTTCTTTAGAGCGAATGAGAACATTTCCACTCTCCTCTGGCCGGCCCAAATCAATATCTCAGAACGTCCATCTCTGTGTCTCAGTCTTTGTAAGAACACTGAATGGCGGTTTTAAAAAAAGATAACTGCCCCTCATCTCTTTCTCCTCCCTACCTGCCTCTCCTGTCACCAGCTAAAACCTGGCCTTTCAGACTGTCGCACGGCGTCTGTCTGAGAGAGGGATCAATATGCGTCCAATCCCCCTGATCAAAGCTCGCGCCAGTGATTCATTCATTACTGAATAACATATGTTTCTCTTTACCAACCCTTTTCCTTTTTTCTTGCTCGGTGTTTTCATCTATTCAGGAAAATGAAACAGCAGCTTTCTTTACGAGGCACCTTTGAATTAGTATTTGTCACGGACACGTGGAATTTGAAAACGAACTTTAATTTGGATGAGCGAGCTGCTCCAGTTAACCAAGACATTGGCTGGCACAATGACTAACGTGCTGTTTTCATTTGTCCGTCGAAAGCGTTTGGATATGGTAACGAGAGAGCTCCGCCAACTAATTTGTCCATCCATTCCCAAATTAATTAAGTGAGCCTGTGTTGTTTGGCTACTGTTTTGAAAATTCATGCACTAATTGCGACAAAAAGATCAAAACCAATTCTTTTTTTTTTTTGTCAAAATTTTTAAATTGCCATTGAATTCCTGTTTTCACAGCTGCACATCCAAATGCTGTGATTTCTATGCTGCAATCTACTTTTTAAAAAGGCTACACAGTGATAAGAGATGCTCTGTCCACTGTCAAAACCAAAGATCAGCTACTTCTCTGGCTTTGTCCTGAAGCTGTATTTGCTTCTTTTCCTGCTTCTTCTGATTGTTCTTCCAGCCCAAGCATGTATAAGTGAGGGTGTTTACAGAATGATTAATTAGGCCTCAGAGAAACTGTGACAAAGACATGTCCATGTATCACCTGTTACGTTTTCTTCTTTTTTTCTGGGTCATGCATCTTGAGAACACAGGGTTCAGGTGCTGGGGGGAAAAAAATAACAAAACATGAAGCCGCATTATCTTCATTTGCTCCTTTTAAAATGGGGATGTTTTTACTCTGCTGATGATTATAAAATATTCCAAAGTTGTATATTTGGATAATTGCATTTTGTTGCTTCCCTTAGCTTTCTGAATGAAAGATGTTTTTCATTATTACTTCATGTCGTTCTACTGCATTAAACCCTTGTTTGTCCTTAATGTGATGTTTACACATTTTCTGTACATGTGTCCTATTACATTCAGTCTTTTTGCTCATTGTGTCACTTCTAAGGTTTCCCAGCTCTTATCTGACCCCAATGGTTCATTGCATTTAATTTTTAATCAAAAATGTATCTGTTTTTTTGCCTTTTTACGCTGTTTGTGAAGTATATTTGTGTGTGCTCTTTAACTCCAACAGAAATACTCGGCAGCCTCACTCTGCAGCATCACCACAGAGGTGCTGAAGGTCTTGAACGCTACAGAGGAGCTGATTGGTGAGGCGGGAGGTGAGAGCTACACCCCTTCTGAGTCCATGAGCGCTTCTCCCATCTCCAGCTGCTCCGAGACCCGCAGGCTGGACCAGAGGCTCACCAAGATGGAGGAGAATGTAAGCAAAAGAGGACCTCAACTCGATAAGCTTCGCCACCTGAATGCGAACGGAAACTAAAAGTTTCTTCTCTGTGCAGGTGTACCTGGCTGCTGGAGCCGTGTATGGCCTTGAGGGGGCACTGGGGGACCTGGAGCAGTGTGCTCGTGGTATTAGCAGTGGGACCACAGACACAGAGCTGGCCTTTCTGGAAGACCAAGTGGCTACTGCAGCCGCTCAGGTCCAGCAGTCTGAACTACAGGTACCGGAAGGGGGTTGCTTTATAGAGCTGAATGTGCATTATCATCTGACTGAAACTGAACAAAGATAACAAGGCGTTAGTCCATGTTCCTTAAACACATCCTCTTTCTGCTTCAAGATATCAAACATTGAGGCCAGGATATCAGCTCTGAAAACAGCTGGGTTAAACGTGACTGTCTGCAATCACTTCTCCAAGTTCAAGCCAAAGTCTAAGGTACCTCACTGTGCTTCAGGTTCTGTAAAGTCTGTCACACTCAGCTACACACAGGTCACTTAAATTCTATTAAAAGCACATTAGTAGATCTTATAATATAGTGCTTGTATGTTAAAGCAAGATACTACGGGCAGAAGCAACTATTTTTGTCATGCATTATTACATTGTGAGATTTTAGGTTATTTTGCTTCTGTAACATGATTTCTAGTGGAAAGGAATCATCCAAAATATACATTTAGATGTTTATGTTTCTACACTTTGCCTATTTAGATCTGTAGATTGAAATTATAATGCATAACTTTAAAGGCGGTTTTCAGAATTTGTTTTTGCGCATACTATGAGCCAAAAAACTTTCTAGCTTCATATGCTTAGTTTTGTACAGAGGGGCTTATTCATGGATCAGTCACAGCCTTATTTACACAACATTTTATTCCTAAAACCAAGGTGGTTGATGACAATATTTTCTGATTGATGAAATGATTAAATGCAAAATCTCCTTCGTTAAAAACCTTTAACTTTGATGTGTCAACAAATGGATCAAGAATTTTGAACCTGGCTTTGTATACAAATCCATGAATATTTAATTAGGCTGTGTCCAATTTGACTATTTAAACATTAAACTTAAGAAAATGTGTAATAGAAAATAATTGCTTTCATGAAAGACTTCAGCTGGAGAAGTTTCATGTCAATATTTATTAGTTACAGTTTTGACCGTCTTCACCTGTAGTGGGTTTTATTAAATTATTATTATTAGCATAAGGTTTGATATTTAAAATGGAAAAGCTGAGAAGGTGTAGCAGCCAAGTCTTAATGGTTTGCTAATTTAAATGATGTTATTCGTTGTATGATAGAAGAATGCTCTCATTACAGCCTCAAACACTGGACTCATCGCGTCATCAGAGGAGGAAGCTTCCAGCGCCTCCACTGAAAGGTACCAAACAAGTTTGTCTTGTTTTGTAGAAAATAACCGAAAGAGAACTGTAAATATAAACTGCAACAAATCTGCTTCCAGGCATGAATGTCTGTAGAAATAAAGATACATTATTTGAAAATGATTTTAAATTTTGCATTTCACTCTGCAATATTTAATCTAAAATGTGGATGCTATCTACCTGGCACTCATCAGTCAGCAATGGTTGAAGCAGCAGTAAATTGAGTTTGCTAACTGCTGACTTATACAATAAACAGTGTATGCTGAAGGGGGGGTGCAAGAAACCGAGACAGCTACACAAGGAGAGTGATACAGAGACAAGGGGACACTTCTATTCACCTTTAGTTAACATCACACATTTTGCGCTTTGTCCTCAAAGAAGAGCTAGGCCACTGAATGGATGTAAAAGTGAATGCATCTGCTAAAAAGGGACGAACTGAAAAGCCCCATTAGATGTAAAGCAGCCAAATGGAAACACACACACACACAGTACAGGAGGGATAAGGCTGTTTTATCAACCAATAAGAAGTCGGTTCCTTTTCATATCAGTGAAAGGCCTTTTTCTGTTGGGGCTGTCTTTATTTTCTTTTTCTTTTTTTGTCTCTCTCTTTTTTTTTTTTTCCTTCACCTGCATCCACACAATAGCTCTGATTCAGGGTGGCTTTTTCAGCATGGCTCCAAAGACGGGCAGCAGACAGGACAATGGGGCAAAATCAGTGACCAAGACGTGTAATCATGTCATTGATTCTAGCTTAGAGTGTCCTTTCTGTCTGTGCATCATACAGTATGCTCTAAATATACAGCCTGGGAGATTGTCCTGACACTTGGATGTAAGTCAGTTGTGTTCATTTGAGTCATATGTTATTGATAGCTTCTCTTTTTCTGGGTTATCCAGGATTTTTTTGAACTGGATGGGTGTTTTTCTTTTTGTTTTGGTTTTTGCATTTCAGAAAAATTGGAGCCAGAGCAGCAGGTGAAAGTATTTCGGCCATAGTGACAGTCAACAGCACAACGAGTCCCTCAGGGCCACTTCAGAGCCCCAGGGGACGGGGGCCCTTCACATCCAGTGCCTTGACCCAGCGTCTGCCTCCAGATCCAGGCCAAGCAGGGGCCAACACCTGCCCTGTGTCACCCACCCAACACTCATCCCTCAGCCAAGCACGGTACCACATTCAGTCAAACGCCTCTCAGAAGACACAACCGGCTCATTCCCCCCGTTTTCCCCGACAGTTTTCTTCTCCTCACCACACAACGTAACATGTAATGCAAAAGGTGACTCAACAGCCAGTGTTTCTGCCTTAAAATCTGCAAACACTCCTCATTGTCCGACTCAAAAAAGAATACCTGTACAGACAACGAAAAACTCATTCCCTCTTTCTATCTGTTTGCAAGAGTATTGTGATTTAATGTACAATGAAGCTGTGGAAAAATCATGTGAAACTTTCTGTGATTCAGTGTCCCAAAAAGAGGCTGAGCCGCGTTTTATACTGCATCTTCTTTTTCACCAAATGAAATGTTATGAGGAATCTAATCATGTTGTAAGCACCCTCCAGAACTTTATTTTTTTGTCGTTGTTGTTGTTTTTGAATGATTGTCAAGCTTCACACATACATACAGCTATCAGATGGTAGTCCTCATTTGGGGGAAGATTGTAACACTTTTGATATTTTAACGATCTGAAAGAATTAAACCAGAAAATAGTGTTTCGTTGTGCGAAGTATCAGGACCGAATAGTTTTTTTTGTCCTTTCCTGCCACTATGATGGCAATAAAGGAATACAAAGCACACTTGAGAAAATGTGCCATTGTAGCTGCACAGCTAAAAACAAATTAGTTAAAAGAACAGTACAAGATTTTGGAAAGATAATTTGCTTTCTTGCTGAGAGTTAAATAAGAAAATCCATACCACTCTTATGTCAGTACGCTAAATATGAAGAAGCTCCAATGGAGCCAGCAGCCAAGCATAAAGACTGGTACATATAGACTGGAAACAGCTACCCTGACTCTGTTCATAAAGTAAAACGAGGTCAAGTAGTCACTTTTTTTTAGCTCTATTTTGGTCTCCTCCACCTCCTGAGGGAAATATCGAGCTGCTAAACAGACTCTACAAGCTGCTAACTGTGTCCGTCTACTGGTCGATGCTGAGCAGTTGGCGTACAGTGGGTTTCTTTGAGTTTTTCTTTTCTTTTTTCTTTTTAACCAAAAACTAAATGACACAGTAGACTTGTTTCCATAACACTTTTTATATGCGAATTAGATGGAGTAAGAAAATTTAGGAAAAAAACCTTCCCCAGTTTTCCAAAAGTGTTTGTACACTACTTGTGGTGGTTTTTGACTTTTTTGAAAAATTGTTAAAAAATGGATGATGGAAACACTCTTTAAAAAAAAGAAAAAAGTTTTGACGCAGTGAACAATAAGCTCACATGACTGATTGGCTGCTTCTACTTCTGTGTTCTTGTTTCGTGACATCATGAAACATAACCAATATCAGCCGACAAAAAAGAATAATTCCAACTTTTTTTTCTTTGATCGAAGACATCTCCTGAAGGCTTCGCTCCATTTCTATGTTGTTGGTGGCCAAAGTTTTGTTTTGCTGTCTTCTTGAAGTTTTTTTTTTGTTAGTTAGCAAACAACTGGTTTTATTTCCAGCTTCTTCTACTCTGTTTATCCCAGCCATGTATAATGTGGCTCATACTGCCAGCTTGTTTATACTCCAGAGCAGTTAGTGGAAACAAGTCTAATTTGTGTTTTTTTTTTTAGAACATTTCAAAAGTTTGCTTAGAGAAGGGTGAGGGAAACCATGAAGTTATGGGCTGGACAGCTAAACAATGGGCTCAAACTCTATAAAACTCTGTGAAGCCAGTGGGAACTACCGATTCAGGCGATATTCTTTGTGAGTTCATCACCACAAGCAACACATTGTTTTCACATTATCATTTGATAGTGTCCATCATAGCAGCCTTAAATCAAACAAGATTTTGATAACTTTGGACAGAGCCAGGCTCACTGCTTTCTCCTGTTTCAGTCTCTAAGCTTTAAGCAAACGCTGGCGGTTCGTATTTAGCTTCTTATTAAGCATACTGGCATCAATTTGCTCCTCTTCAACAGTATAATAACTGTAAAGAAGTCCACCCTCATTTATTCCGAAAAGAAATAGCTGACAAGAACTGATTAGTAGACACACACACCTACACAACAGCCTTAATGTGAAAGCTACTACATTTAAATGAATCAAAATAAGGTTTTAATAATGTCTGAATGAAGACCCATGTGGAGCTGAACACAGAGCTTCCCGGGTCTGATGTTCAGGTTCGGTCTTAAAGCCTTCCTTTGTGCAGTAGGCCTGTTCTTCAACGCAAGGTCATTTATCTTCCTCCTTGTCATTTTCTTTGTTTACTTTCAAACTTTGTGGCCTTTTATTTGAGCGAAATGTATATTTTTTATGTTTTTTCCCCTTTGCTGGGTCATGTCTGAACTATTTCTGTGTTGCATTCAGCAAATCTTGCAAGATTTTTACATAATGAAGTCTGACGGGCTATATAACAAATGCCATGAAACCATGATTTTGTTACAAGCAATTTATTTTTGTACTTACTGAACGTTTTTATGCAATACCGCTGAAATAAGTACTATTGCAAATTAAAGGCTTTATTCTCTCCTCAAAGGAGCCCTCCTCAGTCAGTCCTATCAGACTCTCTCTCTCTCATGTGTGATGACTCAAAGTGCTTTCAGTGTAAGCCTGCATTTACCATTTGATATTCTGCCAGTAATGACGATGGTAAATGCTACAAAAACACAGGTGACAAGAGGCATTTTTTGGAGCAGCCAGTACGATTCATAGTGTACTTGTACTCCTTAAACACTAGATTTGAGAATACTGCCTTTCATTTTTGTGTGATTTTTTTCTTTACTCTGTGACCACTTTCATTAGTCAGAATCTCAGTTAGCCACGCATTCCCTTTTTGCTTTTGGCTACAGCTCAAGAGCAGGGTTGGATTTCCTGATAGACTGCTTGAAAAGGTGTGATGATCTTCCGTGTGAATGCTCTGCCCCTTCTATTAGTGACCTTTTCATCCCGGCGTTTCACATCTTTGGGTTTGCACACTGTTCCTGTACTTTTGTCAATCTTGTTCTCCAGAGGTGTTGATGTATAAAAAAGCATGTTTCTGGTTTTATCAAATTGATGTAAAAATTTTCCCATGAGAAGCACAGCCACAAGGGGTCCAATCATCAGTGTCCTGTATTTTTCTAATGTAAAAAAATATATATATTATCTCATCACAGAATTTGTTAATATATGTATATGTGTGAAAAAGATGGATATGATATAGAATAATGTGTTTATTGCCCAATCATAGTTGACAAATCTTTCGGTGTTGTGTGCAAGAGATCGTGTATATTTGTCATGACTTGTAAGGCTGGATTTACACTGGAAGTCTAATTTACTATTGTAACAGTGTCCCAGATACTCAGTAATTATGAGATTCACACAGAGCTAAAAAAAAACAAAACAAAACAAACAAATGTTACTTTTGTTTCCTGTTTAAATCCAGTGTGGACGACTACGAAGAGGTTCACTGTGCACAGCTCCACAGGCGGGCCATTCACTTTTATGTGCAATCGTTTGTTGCAATCCATATGACATGTTGGGGAAAATATTAACAAGCAAAAAATACAGATTCTCTATGTGCCACAGTACTCTGAGAAAAGAAAATGTATTATGAAATAAATAAAATTTGCAAACTTAAAGTGAAATCTAACTAAAGGGGGTTTTCTTGTGCACTGTGTCTGATATAATGCTATCAGGCAAATCCATCTTTAGTTTTATTGTGTGCTTTTTCTCTCTTTTAGCAAATGAATTACACTGAAATTGCTCATATAGGGAAATGTTAAGAGTCTGTAACCTTATCTGTACTGAATGTGGTTCCTATGTTGAAGTTACCGGATCACTAGTATCGCATTATTAACACAATAGCAATATTTCACTTTTTAAATATAATGGTTAATTGCATCACCCTTCTTGTGCACCTGCAAATACAGGAAGCAAATTCATCAACTCATATAATCACACCATTTGGATTTATTAATCAATATAGAATGCATTTTTTGTTATGTACAGATTCTTTTGGAGAATGATTTCATCAAGGACCTGATGAATCTCATTACAGACACCATAGAGAAATACAAGAGTTAAGAGCTAGAGCAAAACCTCAAGTTAAAAAAAAACGAAGACACTCAGAGTTTGTTGGATGGAGGGGAGGGGAGGGGAGGGGGAGAACACGTCGTCACGGTAACCAATCCCTGCCCTCCTCATCGAGCACTTTTCCGAGGTTCTCCTTATTTCTGAGGCTGTTGAGCAGCAGCTCCAGCGTCCTGACGACGGGCTGCATCCCCCCGCTGCCCAGAGCTTCCACGCTGCTGTGCCTCTTCCCGAAGCGTCCGATGGGTCTCACCCCACGTCCCACGTACCAGAACGGGTCTATCTCTGGACCTGGATAACACACAGTTAGAGTCAAATGCTTCAGATGGAGTAAAGCATGTATGCAATGTTTGAATTTACATTTAGGAAAGTGGTGAAAAGTTCTCTCCAAGCTGGAAATAGCATGAACAGAATGATCAAATGACCAACATCACATACAGAAAGCAGAATGATTCTATGATGATTTTCCTTTAGTGGGTATATTTTTAGCTCTTAAATGAAAAAGTCGAAAGCCAGTTTAATAACAAGTGTAGCCCCTCAAGTTTTCACTCTCAGGTTTCATCATTTCAGACTTCTAAGCTGATATTCTAAGCTGGTTTTACACATTTAAAAAAACTACCAAGACATGATTTCTTGGTCTTTCACACAGTCTTTAGTGAATTGATGATAGTTGACAGTGATACTCACACATTGCAAATGACATTTAATGTTGCATATTATGGTCACACACTATACTTCAACATATAGTACAATAACAGAGAGCATTTAGATTACATGTACTCATTTAGTAAAGTTACTTTAATTTATTGTAAATAATTAAAATTAGAATTTTTAAAAAACAGCCTGTAAAAACACATTGTTAAAAACCTAAAACACTATATACATTTAGATGCAACCACAATGTGCATTTGAAGAGCTCATTTGCAAAAACATCCATTTTCACAAACTTTCAGAAAACCCACTTTTCCATCGTCTACCTGAGACAATATCAATCAAACTTAAGTTATCTATGTTTTTGTCATGTCATTTCTAATGAGTCCAATCCACTCAACTTCAGTTTGACTGATATTATCTCAAGCAAACAACAAAAAAACAAGTTTCTGAAAATCTACAAAAATGGAGTTATCTGTTTTTCCAAATGAACTCTTCATTTGATTATTGGATGAAGATACTTCCCCACTCAGATTAAAATCTTATTGGATATCTATCCTCATAATACTAAAACATCATCTTCAGATTCAGAGGTAGCTGTTTTAAACTGCAGACAATATATCTTTTTAAGTCATTTTATATAGTTTCACCTAATGAATGACAATGGATCTAATATGAGAATATTAATAGAACAAGGTCACTATAAACTCACCAATGACAGCCACAGAGAGATCTTAAATCTTTATGGGTGATATAATACAAAAAATAGAGGATTTTGCTTTTGTTCTGAGTTGAGCTATTAAATTATAAATACAATTTATAGCCCATCTGTCCCCCCCTGTTTGCTGTTCTTTCTTTCTTTCTTTCTTTCTTTTTCACCACTTATATAAAGTTGTGCAAGTGATACAAAAGAAAATAGCGGAAAGAAAAATCGGTCCTTACTTCTGTTGTCGACATTGTGGACGATGTGGAAGTCGTGCTCCACCGTGGTGCTGTGAGCGCGGCTGAAGCTGGAGGAGAGCAGCAGCAGCAGCGCCAGAGCTGCGGGCAGCCAGCGGCTCGTCAGGACGCAGTGCCGGACATGAGCCGCTCTCCCAGGCAGCATGCTGTGGAGTGTCTGAAGGCACTGCAGGGGACGGAGGGAACGCTGGTGAGTCATTTATCACTTATTAAAATAAAAAAAAAAAACACGCACACGCTAATCCTGAAGAAAAGCCTGGAAAAAAACATCCTGATTAAAAGTACTTTTCAACCAGGAGTGATCATGAAAAATAAAATGCTGCACTTTTTTTTTTCCTCCATAGGAAAATTGTACTAGGAGCATTAGTGGAACATTATTTATGAGCTGAAAAAAATATTATAAAGTAGATATCAGTTTACTAGACTTTAAAAATCCACTATGGTGACTGCTAGAAACAATTTGTTATGTTGCCATGTCACAGGATATTATATTGATATTATATTATACTCAGTCACAGGTTGTAAGTATTATAAGTAACACATCTTTATCGACACATCACAAGAGAATGTCCTCAACACAAAACTTGCACTAACTTGCTTCTTTTTTTTTTTTTACAATGACTTTGCCAGGCAGTGCATGAATAAAATACACACAACGTAAACCCCAAATACTCACCCTGAACTTTGGTAGCAGGCTGAGGTCAGTTAGTGGAGGTCCGAAGTCGTTATTGTGGAGCAGGTGTGCCCCTGCTTATATATCCATGCTGCTCCTGAGCTTGCTGAATGATGAATCAAGAACGTCAGTCACACACAGCGATTCTAGACCACAAGGATGCATCACCCCCCCCTCCTCCCACTCTTTAAACTCTCTCCCCGCCTTTGCATCCCTTTGAGAATGGAGGATTCGGCTTTTGGAGTTTTCCTGATGTCTGTCACGCAGCAGAGCAGTCCATCAGGAAGTCAATGACATGCAGACAACTTTAAATTAGTGAACATGGGGAGACCCACCAGCTCAAGTAGGACCATCAGACAGTAACCCAGAACTGTGGTGGGCGTTTTTTGATGAGCCTTTCATCAATCAGCTTGATTACAAGGGATAAGGCAGCACCTAATCAGCTATTGCACACAAAAAAAAAGAAAACCTCAGTGTATTTCTAGACAAGCGCTCACGTCACCAGAAACTACAAGCTTCTTGAACTCTCCTAAAGATAATCAGCTCTGAAAATACCAAGAGCATGAATGTGCAGCGATCACACGGCTGCAAATGGAATTCCCTGTGCTGCTCACATTTCATGACATTTGTAGGAATGAAAGACAATCTAATACTGAAACAAGAACTTTAATGTTGTAGCTGCAAAGTGTCAGTGCCGCTGTATCAACATCAATGACACCAGATTCAGGACGGAGGGTAAAATATACTGCTTGTGCATGCCACCAGAGTGTCACCATGCTGAGAAATGACAAGGATGAATCACAAGTGAGAGGTGATTCACTCTGTCAGATGTCTTCAGGTGGTGTGTTGCCCTGGGGCCTAAATCAATGTCTGTAAAGGTCAAGAAATTGTTAAGCAGTCTGAATTCTACCAGCTTAACTTAAACATACAGCTGGGAGGGTTAGATATGAATCTATTCTTTTTGTTGATGACATCTGAGTGTTTTTTTCTAACTTATGCTCATCTAGAAACGGAGGACCCCATGACAACAACTTTTACAAAATCCAAGTAAATACATTCTACCATAGATGTGGAGCCGAAATGATTAATCACTTAATTAACAGAAAATAAATCTGCAAAAATTTTGGTGATTGATTTTCAACTTCTCAAACGTGAACATTTAGTTTCTTTGTTTAATCTGTATTTCGGTCAGAAAAAGCAATCACATTGAAAACTTATACTTGGGTTCTGGCAAATTGTGACATGAATTTTCACTATTTTCTGACATTTATAATATTTTATAAATAGTTGCAGTCCTGAGTGCATGTGACTCTTCAAAGTAACATAGTGGATAAATGTGTCTACCTGTAGTGTATGTTGAGAAATGTTAACACACATGATGTAAAATCACTGAATTTAGCACTAACTTCTGATGACAGTTTCCTTACAGTATTACCAGTTTATGTTTCAGTTGAAATATGTCTCTCCCATGAATAATACCTCTGTTAAGAATTACACAAAATATCACTGGATGTCATTGTCCAATGTAGCATGTGATGCAAATGGATGTTTGTGTGTGTTTATTTGCATGTACACACTTCCACCTTTGGGCGGCACTTTGCTCTTCCTCCACAGATAATTTTGTCACAGACTGGGATCAGCTTGTATGATGCACACTACAGCTGCAATAATGAGAGGACCTGAGGATGTGTAATCACGCCACAGCAAGGACAACATGCGTAAGTAATAAAGCTAATTTTGATTTATGGCAGAGAGCCCTTGTTTGAAAACAAAGTTTGAGATGAGTTGATTCTTAATGTTCGGTCACAGATGTGTATGTGTGTGTGTGTGTGTGTGTTTGTTTTGCATGTGTACAGCACATGCATTCAGGATAATTTATGTGATATGTCCATGCCGACATTACTCATTATTGGAGTTAGAGACAAATAAATCAAAAAAGGGCAGAACAATGTGCTCTGTTACTGACCTGCGATATACTCTGGTTTCACTCTTGCTGCTATGCCAGCTCTTGTTCCCTCGAACCCAGATATTCTCCATTGTACATTTTCTGCCAATAGATTTTATCACAGATACTTTAAAACACATATTTAAGCTTCTTTTTGGCTTTTTTGCCTATATTAGACAGTGACAGTGGAGAGAGAGCAGAGGTATGACCTGCAGAAATGGTTCAGGATGAAGATGATCAAGTCACTGAGTGAACTGTTTGTATTGTCTTGACAGCACAAGCAATAAATATATTTTAAGCATCTATAAATAGTAAACAAGCAAAGGCATTTCATTCCTAAAAATAACAGAGATGTGGTCTTTGTGTCTGGGTTAAAACATCTCTTTGTTGTTGTGGGACACAAGGGCTCTGAGGAATGTGCTATTGATTGGGAAAACCTTGTTTGCACAATGATTAACAACGTGACCCAGCTGAGCTTTGCGGTCTAAATCATTCCCCTTTCGTGCTATAGTATATTTTGTTAATTGCCTCACGATTCGTGACCTTCAGAGTGCGTGGGCTGAGGCATTCATTGACCATGTTTGGTTTACCCTCTTTCTTAAAAAAGCCTCAATTGGGAATTCGGTGGTCAGTGGGGAAATTTCAATGAAGACATTTCCTGTTTAGCTTTCACTCAGAACAAAGGTCAGATTGGATCCCGGCTTTCCAAGTTTCTCAAACTTTCTTTCACAAACACACAATACACACAATTACAAGGATAGAAAATGCTTTGTACTCCTCAGATGCTTATGAGGACAGTAAGGTTTTAAAAGCAGGTTTTTGTTATATGTCTAAATGATTGACTTTTTTTTCTTCTTCTTTTTGAAACACCATCCAACAAATAGATGAAATCAAATAGATCAATTTGTCTGTTTGTAGTGGCCCAGTGGCCTAATGGATAAGGCATCAGCCTCCGGAGCTGGGGATTGTGGGTTCAAGTCCCACCTGGGTCGTGTGGTTTGCAAGATTGCTGTTAGTTATTGAAGTGTCTGTCTTTGAAAGAAGAAGAAAGCTGTAGTCATGTGATCACAGGAAGGGCTACTGATGTGACATGCACCGTTATCCCACACAAAAGACAGCTGTGTTTCAAGAGTTTTATTTTTAACTGAAGTCACAGGGAGAAGCACAGATGTAAACAATACAACTGATGTCAATTACACTCAGTTTAGCTCATTTTGTTTCAGGGTCCTGATATTGTACATAATGGGTCACTGTCACTCTGTCATAATGCACTTGTATGAGTACAGATTCATCTTCAGTGTTTTTTAGTGATACTCTTGCTTTTCCAACAAACACAGGTGAAACAATGTACCGTTGCATTTTTGAAAAATTACAAAAACATGACCGAGCACATAAAACAAATGACATGTTTTTGGAAAATGATGAATGTCCTGTCAAACTTATATCTCATGTCACCGGCCACTTAAAGAATGCTGGATAAAAATCTATGGGGAAATTCTGTAGCGTCATCGATTGTGGTTGTGTGTCCCACCCCTCCCTCCAATTAGCAAATCGTCTGCCTGGTAACAGAGGTACCATGAAACATCCAGCCATTAGTGTTGTTGACTGACTCAAGAACTGCACTGTAATTAGTTCTTACTTTACTTGTACATTTTCTGTGTATACATTTATGGATGTAGGTTCTACATTTAGTGCTAATCTTTATCGTGGTTTACATTGTTTTGATTATTATGAAAAGAAACAATTAGAACTTCATTTACCAAAGACAGCATTTGTGTTTTCTTAAACAGCAAAAAGCAACAATCTTTGAAGAGTTTTAATTCTCAAACAATGCATCCTGAGAAGCACATATGCTCATTTTCTTTGTTATAAGTTAAATTTAGTGAGTTGAAAGAACTTTTATCTGTTCATTCCTTCAACTAATCACTTAAAGTCACAATGCCTCAAGGTATTAGAACTCACGTTTTTGAGATATAAAGTAATCCGAAAATAATAATAGGAAAAAAGTTAGACATTCTGGGTTCAAAATAAGTGGAAATGAGCCAATCTCATATATTTACATAATGTAAACAAGAAGACGTTGATTTCACATGTGCAGTTCAAGTCTCAATAACTTTTTACACATAGTTTGGGGCAATGTTGCTCAACTTTTTGAGTAGTTTTTAATCAGATTTGACTAGTGATTCTATCTACATACAGTTTTTTTTTGTAATGCCTGTTGAAATTGCAGTCATTGCACTTCCCATTCGTTTAGATAGGAGCCTGGTCTAAAAGCCTAAATAACTGCCCTCTCTCTCCTTCTATATATATGAAGTTACACTATATACAGATCCAAAATAGTTTATACTGCTAGGTCTATCTACTTCTAAAGAAATGCTACAGATCGTCAGATTATTAGTTATTAGGAAAAGAGGTGGCATCTCCTTTTAATAGATGCTTTGCTGCCTCATTGTGGTCAAATGTGTATATACACACACTTTGGGTGCACTACTGCAAGGTTTTACAGCACTGCATCGAAAGAGCTGCACATATGAAGATAAAACTAACAGAATAGTCTCCAGAGAGAGAGAGAAGCACCACACGCTCATCTGTCATGTTTCTAATAAAAGCGTTCATAAATATTACAACGGCATACGTCACCTCAGTAGCAGCGCATGCGCAATACGAAGTGAAAGCAAACGTACAAACATACTGAACGGTACCAGAAAGAAACTACTACAACAACCTTTGTGTTTGGACTGTACCGTGTGAGGATATCCACCGGGACACGGTTATTGTTTCGAGGCTGAAAACAAACGCGGAATCTGCTTTAAACGGAGCTTTAGCCAACAAGAAGAACAGAGAAGTGAAACCTCCAGTTTGGGCTCGACTTTTTGGAAGTAGCTGTAAACAGTTGTCAGACTCTACGCACTTGATTTGTGTTGACACGGAGGCTGTTAAACACCCAGCGACGCCACACAGCGTAAGAAATGTGAAAGGAAAGGTTTTTAAAGGCGGCTAACAAGTCGGGACAAGAGGTAAACAACCCACCGGACCCCTCGTATGTTTGTTTTCTACATGAGTGTGTCGGCAGGATGTCGCTGAGTTCGGGCGGTTGGACTCACAGCCCCGGCTACACACCGGAGCAGCCCGCCGCCCTGCCCGACCACTATGGGGCCTCGCAGTCACAACTTGGCTGCCAAACCGTCCTCATGTCGGTTCGGGTGTCGGTGTGCCATTCTGGTATTCGGCCGCTGTGTCTTCCGGGAGCAGGTGATGAGTCACTCCGCCTGCAGCTCAGCATGGACCCGGGGAAATCCGGGGAATTCCGGCTGTCGCTCCAAGACAGCAGCGGGACTGGCCGGAGTGTGGTGAGTTCACGGCTGGTGGTGTTGTTGTGGTGTGTGTTTTGACTGGAGTGTTCAGAGTCGATGTGTTCCAAGGAAGGACTGTTTTATTTCAAGATATGACTTCACACGAAGATTTCTGGTAGCCCACAATATCAAACTTAGTTGTAACTGGAGCCACGTGAAGTAAAGCAAAGCAGATTTTCTGGCTTTAGACCAAGACCAGATAGACCAGGAAAGCCCCTACTGACCCCACTGGTTTTCACCCTTTGAGTACCTTTAGGTTTTCTGTGTCATAGTTTGACTAAATGTATGCATTGTGCAAGATGACATATTAAAATAGTATGCAATGCTTAAACTACTGTTTAACAAGGCACAATCTATGACTTAATGTTTGAGTGATTTTTACAGGCCTGAGGAGGCTGAAATGTCAGGTATTTCCCAAAAGTAGTCAAGCATTTTTATCATATTATGCAATAGTGCTGCAATTTATCTACAAAATAATATAATCCAGTGTCAAAAGGTTGTTTTTTTCTTCTTTATTATCCCATTAGGGCCCCAGAGTTATAGCTTTTGACCTTTAAAGGGCTCCTGACCCCCATGTTGGAAGTCAGCCTGCTGTGTTTACAAGCAGTCGTCCTGCTGATGAATCCCCTTGTTCAGTTGCAGAGTGCTGCTGTGTAGCTGAACCCTGACCTCACTTTTGTACAAAGAAAGTGTGATGCAATGTACTGCAACACTCAAATCAACTAGTCATTGAATATTGGCTAAATCTGATAGTTACATAGAAAAGTAACATACAGTTGCTGTAGTTTTGATTCTTTCTAATATGTCAGTCCTGCTTCAAATCCTACAATCATGAAGTTTTGTTTTTGCTAAAGCTGTTCTATCGGAGGCTGTAAAGAGAGTAAATGGGATGGAAAATATAAGAAATTTTGTGAAGCATGTTTGCTTTATTGTTTGAGATATTTTTTAGTGACATGTTGTAACTATATAAGGATCTGTATAAGGGTTTCACAGTGTAATGGAGTATTAAAAATGTACTTCCACCAAACCTCGTGCCTGCATGCAGTCATGAAAATGGTAGCTTATGATTTATTCATCCTCCCCATTTCTGCCTCAAAACATCTCCCTCTCCTTTGTCGTTTTTCCAGACCATCACCGAGTTCGATTTGAGGAACGTAAACTATGAGGTGAAGTCAGCAAAGTGCCACGAGCTGAGTTTGGTGGCGCCTCCACATGACCGGATCAGCTTCAACTTCCGCTGTGAGCAGGAGGCCCAGGAGTGGGCTACTGTGGTCATGTCATCACTGAGAGAAGCACACAGAGGTCAGTCAACCATCTTTACAAGAAGCTCCCTGTTTGTTTTTGTGTGTTTTGTTTTGTTTTTGTTTCATCAGAACATTTTCAAACAAAATGTTGTAGGCCAGTTCTGTTGTGTACTCTGAAGCGGTGGAATTCATTCGTCCTGTAGTGAATTAAACTATTTTGTTGTTTGTTTGAGCAAAAGAGTCTTTCACTGCCCTGTTTACTGGTTGTTAACATCACTACCATCAATATCAACCGCTGTAACTAAGCGTCATATTTTGGCTTCAGAGGAAAAGTCAATGATCTGGTTTGTGCTTGCTTACACAGGACGCCCTTGTTTACCCTTCCACATGTACTGTGTGTGAATAATTGCCTACATAAAACAAGGCCAATACTGATAGCATTGTAGAATGGAGAAAAAAAAAAATTCTTTATGATAGTTTTGGGCCAATACTTATGAAGGTATACAATACTGTGCAAAAGGCCCTCAGAGTTAAGTGAGAATGATTTTTATATTTTTTATGGTTTTATTTATCATTCAACTTCATACAAAGTGCAGTAAATAGAACTAACTTAAATCAAATCCATATCCTAACATTCTCCTAGATACACTTGCACATGGTTTTTTCAAGATATGTACAAGGTTGGTGGTTTCAAGCAATTTGGGAAACTTGCTGCATTTCTTCGATGGATTGAGAGTGAAATCTCTGGCTGACTCAATAACGCTGAGATCTGTTTGGGCTCATGACTCCTTGTTTTTCTTCTTGAGTGTATTTTTGGGGGTTGCAGAAAAGACACGGGACATGAATGAAGATCTGCCTTTTCTAGTCAAGTTGCTCAATTGAGTCAAACTAGAACTAGAGGTGAACGAGTAATCAAATTGTAAAATCAAAACCATGATTGGACACAATGCAATTAGGAAATAGCAATGGTTGCAATTTAGAATTTATGTTATACGTCTCACCTAGGGTTTAAACTGTTATGTCTGGGCAACCTATGGACAGAGTAGTAAAGGTGGAGCCCCACATGAGCTAAAATTCCCTTTTGTGTTCCCCTTTCGACTCCCAGCCGTCTGGACCTTTGCTACATGCCCATTCCTTGTTTTGTTTTGTTTTTTTAAACACTTCCTGTCAATCCATACCACATTATTACTCTCTTAATTAAGAGGGAAAAAAAACATTTAAAAAAACTCAAACTGTCATGTTAGTGTTTTCATTGAATTCCTGCCGTTTTCCTTATGTAGTAGTCCTGCTTTAGATGTTATCTCATAAAGTAACTGTCCATTACATCTTTTATATATTGCGCTGTGAATAATAAACAATACTTGACCTGAAGTTTTAGTACTTCTGTGATCCAAAAGTTTTATGTTTAGTGTAAGATGTAGGATCCTACCTGTGATTGTAGCTGCTGAAAGAATTTATTTTCCTGCAAATGATCAGTACATCACTTCTCTATCTATAATAGGCTTTAGAAACCTTTATTCATGTCAAAATTAAAACCACAAGTGTTTGTACAACAGCAAGAACCAGCAGCCAGAATGCGCTGCAGTTATAATGAATTCAGTAGAACCGTACACATGCAGAAATAGGTTTTCTTTGGTTTTATTTGATGGAATTTATTTAAATTGGAATTATTTGGGGGGACAGTTTAGAATATCCAATTAGCCTAAGGGTTGTGTTTTTGGAATGTGGGAGGAAACCGGAGATCCCAGAGAAAACCCACACAAGCACGGGGAGAACACAAAAACTCACCACAGAAACAGGTGGAAGGGTTTCTGTGAGGCTGCAGTGCTAATCACTGAACCACCGTGCTGCCCCTTGGGGGAAGAAAGAGGGAGAGAGAGAAGGGTGAAAGAGGGAGGTATGAGGGGTAGGGGAGAGAGAGAAGATGGAAGATATGGCAGAGAGGGGTGAAAGAGGGTTAAGGATGGGGGAGAGGGGAGAGAGGGCGAAGGAAGGAGAAGAGGATGCCTGAAGGGCTGGTCGAGGGTGGAGGAGATGGCGGAACGGTGATGGTGGAGGATGACAAGGTGAGGACAAGAGGAGGGGGAAGGGGAGATGGGGGAGGCAGAAGGAAAGTGGGGAAGAAGGGGAGGCACAGCCCTGAACAAGAGACTTGTTCAGAAGAACCAGCCCCTTTTCTTTCTCTTCTTCTCTTCCGTCTTTCCTTCCTCACCAGGAGATCTTGGAGCTCCTGGTTGTCCAGCTCCAGGACTTTCTTCTCCTCCTCCATCACATGATTTTTTACCTCCAGTTCCACCTTTTGCCCTTGGAGGTCCGTGTTGTTGGCTTCCAGGAGGTTGTTTTTCTCCTGGAGCTCTGTTTTTTCACACATTTTTTTCCTCCATCTGTCGAATGGCCTCACTGAGGGCCAACAGTTCCTTATGCTCCTCTTCTGCCTTCTCCTCGCAAGACTGCGAACAAGTCTCTAGACAGCTGATATTCACAACTCCACTGTTGACCTTTTCAACCAGCTCTGCCTTTTCGTCTTGGAGCGCTTTCAACTGCTGCTCCAAGACTTCAGTCTTGTCCTTGAGTTGGAAGTTTATGTGCTGATCGGTACACATGGCCTGTTCGGTTTCAGAGGGGCATTTCCACCGAGGGTTGTTTCCTCCACGGTAAGGAGTGCCCCCATACCATCACCTGGGCCTTGGGTAGCCTCTTTGTGCCATTGTATCAGCAAGGAAAGATTCTACAGGAAAAAAAAAAAAAGTTGATGGTTATGACTGTTACTGATACTGACGTGTACTATGCTAGCCTAAACCTGTGCAGAGGTTCTTACTTTTCTGCAGTAGCTGATTGCCAAGAAGAAGTCTTCTCAAAGTGTTGAGTGTCGCGCTGGTCTGGAGAATCTAGTGTGGGTCAATAGCTGAGTCTTGTCTCGGTGTCTGGTATTTGTCCCCTCAGAGGTTCCACCACAAGACATCATTATGACATTGTAAACGTAAAGTTCTCAACTCCGTTGTGGAGCTCTTGTTGCTGGACAGCTTCATCAGAGGCACATTTAGAATGTCACATGGTGTCTCTAAAAGTGCAAATGAATGTTGGCAAAATGGCCACCATAAATTTTACACAATTAAACAAACCAAAATCATCTTGAGAGGATCTTGTTTTAGTGGAATGTTTGCAAGCACAGAGGCGAGCACTGTCATTAAATAGCTCACCACTTAAGTGTTACACAATTTCTTACACTGTACAATTTTACATTTCAGATCTTTTCACATGTTTTCTTCAGAGCAAACCCATCACATTGTTGAACACTGTACATTACCACAATGTATTTTAATAAATTATGTTTTCATTGACATTTTTGCACACAGTATATTTTTTTTTTTTACATCACATCTTAGTTTTTGTAAGAAATGGTACTGCAAGTTAGACAAATTGCAATTAGATATATTACTCAAATTGTTCAGCCTAAATCAAACCATGCTGAACATATTTTCTGAGAAGTGCAGTGTTTTTGTGTGACTCTTACGCATACAGTCTTACATAACGAATGTGGAAGTGATGGTGTGACATACAAATTAGCCCTGAGGCAGCAGATACAGGAGCCTTTTTGTCGACTGATCTCACTTTCCAAGTGAAGAGAAAGTGTCAGAGCTTAACAGTTACTCTCCCTGTAGTTCTGGTTTAACTTAACTCTGTACTCTGCGCTGCATCTTCTGTGAACTGGACTTACAAAAGCAACATTGTAATGTTTTTGGTACAGATGGGGGTTAAATTGGGCTGGAGTCCCGTGGGGTTCAGTTCTGCCTCCTGGCACCCAAGTATCGCAGCATTACCAACTCACATAATAACTGTTGAAATATGCTTTCAGACAGCGTCTTATATTGAACAAACTAATGCAGAAAGTCAAATTCTTTTCTTTGAAGTTATTTAACAGCTGTAGCATCACACAGCAGCAGTACTCAAGCTGTTTCTTAACTAAGAGAAGGACTGTGGGCAGTTTGCAAGTGTGGCAAAACAATGGTCACTCATTTTCTCTCCTTTTTTAATATAATTTTTTGCTGGGGGCATTTTGTCTTTGCTAGAAAGAACCATATGATGAAAGACTTGTCATAATGACTGCGTTGGTGCCCGTGTGTGCACTTTAACCTCTAAGCTATTGGGTCGCCCAATAGTCACTTCATTAATTGTTTGTATCTTCTGATGTAATTTCACATACAGCAGAGTCATCGTTTGTACGGTGAAATCATGGCAAACAAAGCCGTAATGCTCAGGATGAATCGGTACCATCAGAGCTGTCACGACATTTTTATTTTCAGCAAAAGTTAAAAATAATTTCCCCTGGAGAATCACTGTTTTCCCCTTTCTGTTGATGTGGTCATTACTGTAAGCTTTCCTGTTTTGCTGCTTAAATGCAATAATATTTTGAGTCGTTGCTGTGGCATTACTGCAAGCATGAGCTTATCTAATCACTGAGGTAATTATAACCGAGGTCTAAAAAAAGACAGTCTGTGATAACACAATTTATCATACTCCACTATGTATAACAGTGTTTCCTGAACCATTTAATGCAATAAAAAGTGCTGCTTCACAGAGACTTCCTTTTTTTTTTCTTTTAAGTGTTGCTTCATCCAAATTGTACACGACATGCACACGCAAAACAAATAAATAAGTAAAACAAAAAGCTTCCAGAGTGGTAATGGCTGTTCACATTGTTTGATTTAATTTGAGACTGACTCTCAGACGTTTCACCAGTGCAAGAGAGTTCAATTGTATTCTAGTATTTTGGTGTCTGTCTTGAAATAGTCTTTGCTTCTCTGGACAATTTCACATTCGCAGCAAACAATGAGTACAGTTGTCATACTTTTTACTAAAGAAATCCTCTCCTCTCTGGAGCCTAGTCAGTAAATGGGTCTCTTGAAAAATGTGTTTTACGTGTGTGTCTTGACTGTGTTTTGTTTGCCTCTTTCTTGCCTTTTTTTTAAATCTATTTTTTACTTAAATTGTTTTTTTCTCTGGCTTTCTACCTTCCATATTGGCAGTCGCCCCTCAGGATAATGGTCCACAGAACCCTCCCGATGTTCTCCATCGCCAGAACACCTTGGCTTTGCAACGAACAGGTGTGTGGGAAGTAGACGTCCCTGTGCCATTAAAAAATACATCTGATCAATATTTTAGTGGTCATGTTCTTTGAAAGTAATGTCCAACTGCATCTTATTTTTTTCATTCATTTAGTCATTCACTGATTGGCCGTCTGCACACTGTGTGTTTACTGTGTGTCATTTTAATCTGTAGAGGAAACCTGCATAGAGCTGACCAGAGCCATAGAGGCAGGTGACTTGCAGTCTGCATCTGTCTTTGCTGCCACACTTGCCCGTCAACATGCGGCTTTAAAGATCCAGCCGTCTGCCAGAGACTATGAAGACACTGAAATCAGGTAGAAACATGACTAATAATTATGATTTTAACACTTGAACACAAAGCACAATTAACGGACAGTAATTTATGTTTAAGAATTAAAACATATAAACATTTGTGAAGGTCTAATTTTGCCTGATATCTTGTGTTTCATTTTCAGTTTGACTGTTGTCGTGGAGGATTCTTCCTCGTCCTGTTGTGTCACTGTGAAAGTTTTCCTCCACATGACTACTGCATCATTGAAACAGCAGGTTAATTTGATAAATATGTATTTTTCTCCTCTTCTGGTATTTTTATTATTCCACCTTTTGTTGACTTTTTCTCTGTTTTTCACTCCCATTCTCTCTTGTTCATCCCTTTTCAGATGTTTCTTGAATATGGATTTCACCCCCGGGTGCAGCGATGGGTGATTGGCCAGTGCCTGTGCACTGACCAGCGGTCTCTCGCCTCATATGGCATTCGTCAGGATGGTGACACAGCCTTCTTGTACCTCTTATCAGCCCGCCATGCTCGCTTGACCCTCCAAATCCTCCAGCAGGATCAGGAGAGTGCACTTCTCCGTAATCCTCCATCTCTGTCTCAAAACCCTCTTCTCACTGCTACCTCCGCTAATGGCCCCTCAACTCAGGACTGGAGGGCTTACACCACTCTTCCTCCTAGACTCCATACCAGCAGCAGCACTGGTGAGAGGGGTATTAATGTGGGTTTTTCACAGTTTATGTCAGAGCTAAATTGCTGAATTATGTGAATCCGTGCTACACCTGCATATTCAGTGCTTTAGGCAGTAACAGATGGATGTGATACAGCTGGTGCAAAACAAATGGTAACACCATTGTAATATAAAAAGATTTTTTCAAATTTTGAAATGAATGAGCAAGCATTTGCCTGACCTAGTTAGTGCAGCTGCATAGCACAAAACAACAGCTGTGTTGTATAACGTCATTTGCAAAGAAAAAATAACAAAAAAACAAAACTGAGGTGAGACAGAACAACACCAGAAGATATATTGCGTTGCATTAGAGGTGCAGAAGTCTCATTGACAGTTACAGAAATCGTTTGATTGCAGTGATTGCCTCAACAGGTTGTGCCTCATGCACATTTGCATGCAGATTTGATAGTGATCTTTTTTTTTCTCTCCTTAAATGCCTCAGGTGGGTCAGAGAGACAAACCATCAGTGAGATCAGAGACCTCATCAACCTAGAGATGCCCCAACTCAGTGAGGCACTGAGCCCCAACACAAGCTCCACCCAGGTAACACACAGGAACAGTTCTGGTTTTATTGTAATTATAGTCGTTTTTGTTTTTAGTCACACTTCAAAAATGATTTGATACAAATGTACCATAAGCCATGTAGTGCTGTTAATCTTATATTTAATAAAAAACTGTTAAAGACGTGCTTAAAATGACTATGTTTAATAGAATGTAAAGAATAAAACTACTCATCTATGTTTTAGGGTTGGTCGTGTCCATCTTGCACCTACATTAATAAACCAACGCGGCCGGGCTGTGAGATCTGCAGTACAAACCGTCCCGAGAACTATGTTATCCCAGGTGGATACCGCCCTGATGCACTGGAGCTCAGACGAATCCAGCAGGAGAAGGAGGCAGTCAGACAGTACCAGCAGGTATATATAAAAACACTGTCACACCTGAGTTACTGAGCACACCGAACAACCACAGTCTTACATGTATTATCACACGTCTGTATGCATTTAGGAATACGCCCACAAGCACTGTTAGACAAGATGCTTGGAATGTGTAGTGAGCTACGTTACCAGTTACTCTACATTAAATGAAGCTTCAGTAGACTGACGCTACCCTCAGAGAAATACAACAAAGCTAAGCTACATCAACATGGCAAAAGTAGTTCACTGAATCAGAAGCTACGTATTTTAATAGTTAAATGTATTCATTTATTGACTGCAGACAGTGAAGCTAGCTAGAAATAAGCTTTTAACAAGGTGCTAGCTGGTGTTGGCACATTGGACTAAGGATTGGTATGTTATGTCACGGTCATTTATAAATGCTGCTGGGGCATCATGTACTGATGCTTAGTTTTATTTTAGATTGCACTAAAGCTCTACTGTGCTTGTTCGCTTCAGAAATTGTCAGGTACCTTCCATGGAGGCTACCACACTCCTTGAATAAAATAGCTTTGCTACTTAAAATGTATTTGATACAGACAGCAGCGCTGTTACCTCCACAGTACTGAGAAATGTAGCTAAACTTGTAACACTGCTACCTGTGTGCCTGAAGTTGTTTTGCCTGCACATACTTAGAATACAATGTTATCTTGGCAGGCCTCACACACTCTAAGCAGGGCATCCCATTTAGTATTAACTGCATAAAAACATAACAGGGAATCTGAGCTGGATCAAATGCTAATATTTGGTTTTAAGAGAGAAGGTATAAGGCAACACAGGGCTTCAAGGAGATGGAGGTATGAAATTAATTAAAAGCTGACATTTGATTTGAAGCTTTCAGGCTCTCTCAGGTTGACTCTCTTCTCTTTTGTCTCTGTTTTTTTGAAGGAGAAAGGGAGAAGAGAGGTGCTGAGGAGTGCTGGGCTTCAAAACTCACTCCTGTATAACCTGGACCAGGACTACTGAACATACACTGACACGGACATACATACGCGCCATGTTTATTTATGTTCTATTCGTAGAAAGCACATAAAGCACTGTTTTCATTGCAGACACCAGACAATGGCATCAGAAATGATCATGCACAAGCAAAGTCCACATGCAAGTCTACATGCCTGTTTTGAAAGCATCATTTTCTTTTCTTTTTTCCTGAAGTTGATTGCAGTTACATGGGCTAGTTTAAGGTGAACTATTACCTCTGAAGGCTATTTAGGCCTTAACTCTTCCTAGTATTGGCATGAAACAGTACAGTTGGTGGTATAGGTTAGGGGTCGGCAACCCGTGGCTCCACAGCCACATGTGGCTCTTTCATACCTCTGCTGCAGCTCCTTGTGGCTTTGGAAAATAAATGAGTATTTAATTTCAATTTATTTTATTTTAGTTCACTAGTTTTAAAAATGTAATTCTTAATTTGAAGATTATGGTGATCTTGTAACATTAAAATAAAACGTGTTTAAGGTTTTGTTACTCAAAATACGCCAACTTGATGACTTTCTCACTAAATCTGGCAACTTTCCAAATCCTCTTGGCAACTTTTTTTTTGTCAAAAGTGACTAGCACCAATCTAGCGATTCTTTCTGGTGTTTTGGAGACTCTGATCGTTCTGCAGTTACTGTCCTCATCGAGCAGCAGGTGCTGCTGTGAGCTCCTCCCCATCCCAAAGCGCTCACAGGCGGTCTGTAGTCAGTAGTCTGGTCAGCAGTCAGCAGTCACAGCTGCAGTCAGCAGGCCAACCAGACGTCATTTTTACTTTGCTGCAGGTGGATAATTTAAGTTTTTATTTCATAAATACGAGTAGGACCCAAATAGACATTGAGTATTTTATTTGAAAGTAACCTTCAACCCAGCATCTTTTTTTTTTCAGAGTTCAAAATGTTTTTGTTGCATGCAGAAATAAAATTTTGTTTTCTCTGTAGCAGTTCATTGATTTCATTAATGCAACACAGTCTAGTTTTTTATACATAGCATATAGGTGAAAAGAAACTATATATGCAGTGTTATCTTCAAATGTAGATGTCAAAAAGGTTTTATGGCTCCTGGTGTTTTCTTTTCCATGGGAAAAGAGTCCAAATGGCTCTGTGAGTGTTTAAGGTTGCCGACCCCTGGTACAGGTGCATCCCCCAGCCCTACAGGAGACAAACTGCATAAGAACAATAGATTTCACTTTTTATGAAAATGTGCAAATATTGATCTGGTGAAAAAATCCGACTGCTTATACTGAGTTTTGAAAATTTGTCAAAGATGGATTTCTTTGTTATTTTGACCATGGCAGTATACTGTGTATTGATGAGGCTCGAGTTAGAAGGCTATGAAAGACTTTTCCACATACTGGCCATCCAGACAGACAATCACAATCACTGCAGACTTTAAACATCGAGTAGCTTTTCAGTAAACTCCATGAGAGCAGAGTTTGCCACAAAACTGAATGTAATAGTTGTTAATTTTGCACTGTAATTGTACATACTCTGTGAAATGGATTAAAAATAAAACATTTTTACACACTGTATGTGTCTGCATGTGTATGTGTACCTTTATGTGAGGATAAAAAAAAAAGGCTAATGTGCTTCCTATGACAAACCTGGAATAAAGTAGTTTATAGAACATGTCTGTAACCCCTCTCCCCCTTAACAACACCACTCCCTCTCCCAGGCAAGAGAAGAGGAGCGAAGGGAGAATTTTGCCCGGCTGGTGATGATGGATGGTCAAGACCTGGTACCGAACCCTGAGCCTGTGGACTGTAGGATCTGCTATGTGGACCTACAGCCAGGAGAGGGCGTCCTGCTGAGGGAGTGTCTCCACTGTTTCTGCAGGTAGGATTTCCCTTTTTATTTTCTGATTTTTACTCCTCCTTATAGCTAAAAAAATATTATTTCAAATATTTATTTCTCTTTTATCTGACTTGACATTTTGCATACATTTTCCATGCAAATACAAATACTTGTACAGTGGTTCGGTTGTTAACACCATCGCCTCGCGGCTAGAAGGGCCCCAGTTTGGACGCCTGGGATCTTTCTGTGTGGAGTTTGCATGTTCTCCCCGTGCAGCGTGGGTACTCTCCGGGTTCTCCGGCTTCCTCCCACAGTCCAAAAACATGCTGAGGTTAATTGGTGATTTTAAATTGTCTGTAGGTGTGGATGTGAGTGTGCTTGGTTGTCTCACTGTGTAGCCCTGCGATAGACTGGCTTCACCCTAAGTCACCTCAGATAGGCTCCAGCCCCCCGTGACCCTCGTGAGGATTAGCTGTGTATAGATAATGGATGGATACAAATGATTATATTAATTAAGTAATATTATCAGATGCTTTATGACTTACACCCTTGTTTTTAGTCTCAAGTCCTTGTCAAAAATATGTCAAGGGATGGGGAAAAAAGGGATAGTTTTGAAAATACTTTATTACTTTTGTCTAATTGAATACCTTGGATTTTTATTTTCTGCTTCTGTGTGCGTGCCCACCTAGAGAGTGCTTGCGCTCAGTCATCATGATGAGTGAGGAGCCAGAGGTGTCCTGCCCCTACAGAGATGACACTTATTCCTGTGCCCGCTCCCTGCAGGAGAGGGAGATCAGAGCCGTGAGTTACACCGGCAGACATCTTTGTTTGGAGACACGGTGTTAAGATATAACTAGAGCATTTGCAGTGATTGTAAATGCCCCCAATTTCTTTCCCCTCCTCTGTTACAGCTGGTGCCAGCAGAGGAGTATGAGCGCTGGCTGCAGAGAGGACTTTCAGTGGCAGAGTCTCGGTGTGAGGGCAGCTATCATTGTGCAACTCCAGATTGTCTGGGCTGGTGTGTTTATGAGGATACTGTCAATGTCTTCCACTGCCCTGTCTGCAGGAAACACAACTGTCTGATTTGCAAGGTATAAAATATGCACAGTATATACTTGCATAAATGATGTTGGTATGCTCAAGGTGCACACAGAGAAAGATGTTTAAAGCATGTGTGTATATACATATAAATATACACATCTGCACTTGGCTAAAGATTTGTGCCATGCACTAATTAATCAGTCAGAGCTAACTGGCAACTCCTTTTGAAAGAAGCAGTGAAACATTATGTCTGAAAGTAGTCACATGTTTCTAGTTGCCTCAGGCTAACTGTTATGTAAAGACAAGAATGTTTACTGAGATTAAAGACACACACAGATTTTCACATTTTTGTCCCTGTTACTTTTTTCTTTTCTTCTCAGTCTATTCATGAGGGAATGAACTGTAAGCAATACCAGGATGATCTAGCAGCCCGCGCTATAAATGACTCTGCTGCGAGAAGGACAACACTTCTGCTAAAGGTTAGCTGTAAAAAGCACATATATGTACTGTATGTGTGTACTGAAAGAGAGCTCTTTGAAGCTATATTCTGTTTTTGGAACTGCACTTAAATGTTATGTAATAGTTATGGAGGAGAGAGACACGGTGCATTTGTCACTGCGCTGATACGCAGTGTTAACTCACAGACGAATGACTTTGTGTTTCTTATGCTTACAGAGTGAACTGGTGTCTGCTGGCACCTACCGCACTCTCTCATCTAATATTCTCGCTTTCTTCCTTCTTGCACTCATTTTCTATTCTCACAAACAGACTCTTGTGCAGTCGGGGGAGGCCATGCACTGTCCCCAGTGTGGCATCATTGTGCAGAAGAGGGACGGATGTGATTGGCTGCGCTGCACTGTCTGTCACACTGAGATCTGCTGGGTAACCAGAGGGCCTCGCTGGGGGCCGAGGGTAAGAAATCCTTCCTTTCTATGCTCAATACATTCTTTCTCTCTAATTTGTCACCTTAAATCCTCCACTGTCTGAATTTGTAAGCTGTTATTTAGGAGACCAGTTTTTGTTGAT